GGCGGACTCTCAACCACTGCGCCACCAGGGAAGCCCCGGATTCTTAACCACTGCTCCACCAGGGAAGTCCATAACTGATAGTTTTATGTTTGTGTAATTGAGATGTTGCCCATTGTCTTCTGAAAAGTGTCTGATTTATCTTTTTGTTTTTAAAAACTTTATTTTGGGACTTCCCTGGTGGTCCAGTGGTAAAGAATCCTCCTTCAGATGCAGGGGACACTGGCCGGGGAACTAAGATCCCACATACCGCGGGGCAGCTAAGCCCGCTCTCTACAACTGCTGAGCTCACGCGCCCTGTAGCCCGTGTACCGCAAACTACAGGGGCCGTGCACCACAACTAGAGAGAGAAAACTCACACGCCACAAGTAGAGGGGAGCCCGTGCACCACAACAAAGAGCCTGCGCTGCAACAAAAGATCCCACATGCCTCAACAAAGATCCCATGTGCCGCAACTAAGACCCAACGCAGCCAAAAAAATAAAGTAAATAAAGAAAAAAAAAAAAAGACTATTTTTCGAGAGCAGTTTTGGGTTCACAGTTAAAGTGAGAGGAAGGTACAAACACTTCCTATTTATCTCCTGCCCTACACATGCACATCACACCCCTATTCTCAACACCCCCCAGCAGAGTGGTCCATTCGTTACAATCCATGAAGCTACCTTGACACATCTTAACCCCCCAGAGTCCACAGTCCACATTAGGGTTCACTCTTGGTGTTGTACCTTCTGTGGGTTTGGAGAGATGTCAAATGACAGATATCCATCATTATCATTTTGTTGTTAATATTGTGTTTGAAAGCAAATAGATGAGCAACTTCAAGACCATCCTTTCATGTCAACAGAAAGAAATCACGGCGCTTGGAGCAAGACGGAGACCCAGAAACTAATTAAGGCTGTCGAAGAGGTGATTCTGAAGAAAATGTCTCCCCAGGAGCTAAACGAGATGGATTCTAAACTCCAAGAGAATCCTGAAGGCCGCCTGTCAGTTGTTCGGGAAAAACTCTACAAAGGCATATCCTGGGTAGAAGTGGAGGCTAAAGTGGAAACCAGGAATTGGATGCAGTGTAAAAGTAAGTGGTAAGTTTGAGGCTTCTTACATAAATTTCAACGAGATGCATTCCCTGCCCCTCTCTCAGCAACTTCCGGAGAGGGGTGGACTGCTGAGGTTACTAAGAATATCTGTAACTACCACGTGGAAGTCCTTACAGTAGGTCAAGAATGATCCTCTCTAATCCACTGCTCCAACCACTTCAATATCAGTAGCTGATTTAAGTTAGCATTTAACCAACCCTGATTCATTGTGTGGCTTCTTTTTTTTTTTTTTAATTAATTTAATTTATTTATTTATTTTTGGCTGTGTTGGGTCTTCATTGCTGTACATGGGCTTCTCTCCGTTGCAGTGTGCAGGCTTCTAACTGTGGTGGCTTCTCTTTGCAGAGCACGGGCTCTAAGCGCTCGGGCTTCAGTAGTTGTGGCACACGGGCTCAGTAGTTGTGGCTTGTGGGCTCTAGGGCACAGGCTCAGTAGTTGTGGCAAACGGGCTTAGCTGCTCTGCGGCATGTGGGATTTTCCCGGACCAGGGATCGGACCCGCGTCCCCTGCATTGGCAGGTGGATTCTTAACCACTGCGCCACCAGGGAAGCCCAGTGTGGCTTCTTCATAAAGGACTTGAACCTTTTTATTCTATTTATTTATTTATTTAATAGAAGTATAGTTGATTTACAACGTTGTGTTAGTTTCTGGTGCACTAAGTGATTCAGTTATGCATATATTTTTTTAAAATTCTTTTCCAATATAACTTATTACAAGATATTGAATCCAGTTTCCTGTGCTGTACAGTAGGACCTTGTTGTTTATCTGTTTTATATATAGTAGTTTGTATCTGCTAATCTGCAATTTCAAATTTATTCCTGCCCCCTTTCCCCTTTGGTAACCATAAGTTTGTTTTCTGTGCCTGTGAGTCTGTTTCTGTTTTGTAAACAACTTGAATCTTCCTAATATTGAATATTGACTTCTGGTTTCTTCACTCTGTCCCTTTCTTCATAAAACAAGGTTGTTACCTATTTATAGCATGAAAAAAAATACAAAATTAACCTCTGAATATTTAGGAGGGAAATCACAAGCGTAGTGATCAGTAATAGCTCCACCTTTTTACTTTTGCTTTCTAATTCAACAGTTCCTCTGTCTTCATCCAAAGCAGGGCAGTCATACTCTTCATCCTAGAACATCTTTAGGTACATCCATCACGAAGAAGTGGTTTCAGTCCAGATCTTGCTGCACGTTCTTTGCCCGATGTAGCTTTTCCCAGCCCTGGAGGGTTTCTGAGCTAACTTTCAGCTGCAACTTTCAGCTGCAGCATGACAGCTTGAAGCAGTGGTTCTACAGCCCACGACCCAGGCCTCCTGCACAAAGGGAGCTTCATCATCTTAACCATTAAAGAAGAATGAAATCCAGAGTGGGCGTGTTGTACGTTAAAAGCAAACTCCTAGATTATACTGTGTATTGTTTATATACCTTACAGTTCTGCTGTAGAGTATTTATTTTACTAGAAGACTACCCTCAGGAAATAAGCTCCAAAGGACAGATAATGTTTAGGGGGGGGAGTGTGTAATATGGAGGAACCAGAGCCCTTTCTACCCCTATATCTTAGACTTGAAAAAGGAGTGGGGGCTTCCCTGGTGGTGCAGTGGTTAAGAATCCGCCTGCCAGTGCAGGGGACATGGGTTCAAAGCCCCGGCCTGGGAAGATCCCACATGCCGCGGAGCAACTAAGCCCGTGCACCACAACTACTGAGCCTGCGCTCTAGAGCCCGCAAGCCACAACTACTGAGCCTGCGTGCCACAACTACTGAAGCCCACCTGCCTAGAGCCCATGCTCTGCAACAAGAGAGGCCACTGCAATGAGAAGCCCGTGCACCGCAATGAAGAGTAGCCCCCGCTCGCCACAACTAAAGAATGCCTGCGTGCAGCAACGAAGACCCAACACAGCCAAAAATAATTAATTAATTAATTAATTTTTAAAAGGAGTGGGTTATAAAGCCTCAGTTGGAAGATGATATGTCAGTGTCTTAAAAGGGAAATGATGAAGGGGAGCCGTGCTTCAGAATCAGCATAATTAAATAACATGCAAGGGTTCTTTTTTTTTTTTTTTTTTTTTTTTTTTTTTTTTTTCTTGCGTTATGCGGGCCTCTCACTGTTGTGGCCTCTCCCATTTGCGGAGCACAGGCTCCGGACGCGCAGGCTCAGTGGCCATGGCTCACGGGCCCAGCCGCTCCGCGGCATGTGGGATCTTCCCGAAACGGGGCACGAACCCGCGTCTCCTGCATCGGCAGGCGGACTCTCAAGCACTGCGCCACCAGGGAAGCCCACAAGGGTTCTTTTTTAATTTGAAGAAAAAAGTAGGAAACTTGAACGCTGAACATAGATTTACTTCATGAAACATTGAAATGGCATCAGTGGGTACATTTCAAACCAGTGAACGTGAGCGGCTATTAGTAAAAACAGTGTCAGTTTCTGTGTGTGTGCATCATGTACCTCCCTTCTCAAGAAAGTAAATGTTACAGCTCATGATCTGTCCATCAAATTGTGACAAATTTCACTCTTCAAGAGAAGCACTTTTGAAATATTTTTAATTGAGCTGCTGCTCTCATGAGGAACTTCAGGGAACCCTTTCCCTCAGCCATGAACTTTGGGCCTTAGAGGAATCATTGAATCATTGATTACTTTACTAAATCTGTGTAATTTGGTGTTTCAGCAGCTATAATGGTAATAAGAGCAATGTCTCTCTGTTTTATAAACAAGCAAAAATAAATTGAGTTTACACAGCGCCCTTTAGCACCTGCGAGCAGGCTTATTCTTTTTTTTCCTCCTTTTTTTTTTAACTGTTTATTATGGAAATTGTGTAACACACACCAGCTTAGAGCTCCTTGTATCCATCATTCATTTTCAATAACCGTCAACTTTCTATCTCTTTATTTACCCTTTCCCACTTTAAAAAAATTAAAAAAGGTATATTCTTTTTTTTTTTTTTTTTTTTTTTTTTTTGCGGTACGCGGGCCTCTCACTGTCGCGGCCATCTCCTGTTGCGGAGCACAGGCTCCGGACGCGCAGGCTCAGCAACCGTGGCTCACGGGCCCAGCCGCTCCGTGGCGTGTGGGATCTTCCCGGACCGGGGCGCGAACCCGTGTCCCCTGCATCGGCAGGCACACTCTCAACCACTGCGCCACCAGGGAAGCCCAAAAAAGGTATATTCTTGATGGTGGTAAATGTTAGCAGTGATGAGTTGCAAAAGTTATAAAGTGGTTCTGAATAAGTACAATTTAAATGAGGAAAACAAAGGACATTTTAATGGAAACTTTACCCCGAAAATAAACTGTTTCTCTTTCTTTCAATGTAGGACGGAAATTCTAACCAAGAGGATGACAAATGGTCGGGACGTATACCGGGGAGTTAATGCCCTACAGGCCAAGATCAACCTCATTGAAAGGTACAGAAATAGAAAGTGACGATATTTTACCTGTTTTTCTCTCTAGCCAAAGAGTAGTTGTTAAACAGCAGAATCTGCAGTAAGATTACCATGGTTCATATTCCTTTTCCAGCACTTCCTACGTGCATGACCTTGGACGTGTTTCCTACCTTTCTAGGTCTTGATTTGTTCATTTTAAATGAGGATGATAATAACAGTACCTGCCTCTTAGTGTTATTGGCAGAAGAAATGAAATAATGCATGTAAAACGTAGCATGCACTCAATACATAGCTAGTTTAGTCTTTAAGGCTTTCGCATAGACATTGCTTACTTCTGTCCATTGGAAAATGGAGGTAAAGACTTTAGGGTGAGCCCTACTGCTCTCTAGCACGCGTTAGTTGGTGTCACTGCTGCTTGGTCTTTAGTTTTGTCTTTGAGTTCCTGGTCCATGCAGAGTCCTCCCTCCCCTGATGGACAGGGAGACATGGACCTGTTTTACAAAGTCAGCGCGTCTAGTGGACCTGGGCTCGTGTCCAATGAGGAACAGCAAAGAGCAGAAGTAACCTTTGGATTCTGGCCGCCCTGTCCAGCTTCATTATTCTTGCGCTCTGTCAGGAAGCCTGCTTCTCCTTCATTGGTGAGCTTCCTCGTTCTCCACGCTGGCCTGGCTGGGGTTGCCTTCCCCTTTTCTCCTCTACCAGAGAGACAACAGAGACTAGCAGAGCCCAGGAGGGCATCTCACGTCAGGCAGGCCTGGGTTCCAATGTGCGTACCGCCTATGAGTCATGAAACCTTGAGCCAATGACTCGAGCTCTCAGCCCTGATTCCTGGCCTGTGGAAAGGACATAATCCCCTAGCTTCATCAGGTGGTGTTGAGGGTAAATGGATTAGTGGGTATCAAGGTCTTAACCCAGTGTCTGTCACATAGTAAGTGCTGAGTACACATGTGTACTAGTCTTGTGTGTCTGCATTGAATGGTGAAGTTGTGTTTTTGTTTGTTTGGTTTTTAATAATTAATTAATTTATTTATTTGGTTGCGCCATGTCTTAGTTGCAGCAGGCGGGCTTCTTAGTTGTGGCATGCAGACTCTTAGTTGCGGCATTCATGTGGGATCTAGTTCCCTGACCAGAGATCGAACCTGGGCGCCCTGCATTGGGAGTGTGGAGTCTTAACCACTGTGCCACCAGGGAAGTCCCTGTTTTTTTTTTTTTAATTGAAGTATAGTTGATTTATAATGTTGTGTTTAACCTTTGCTGTACAGCAAAGTGACTCAGTTATACATTTTTTTTTTCATATTTCATTCTTTTCTATTATGGTTTATCACAGCATATTGAATATAGCTCCTTGTGAAGTTGTGTTTTTTACTAGGCTTGGTGGGAGATGCAAAGGGCTCAGGAGGAGGAAGGGTGATTTTTTGGTCTGTAGCTCACCCCATGCCCTTGGGCTGACCTTGGGTTAGCATGCCAGTGACACTGGGCCTGTGTAACAAGGGAGCTGGAACAGGGGTGAACACGCTGAGGCCTTCCAGCTGTTAATATTCTGTGAGTCCACGAAGATGTCCATCATGTTGATTTTTGGCTTGAAAACTTAATTTTTATTTTTTCTCATAGGTTGTATGAAATAAATGTGGAAGATGTTAATGAAATAGACTGGGAAGACCTTGCTAGCACCATAGGGTAAGGCCATTTGTTTAATATCAAGCTAATGAAAAAATCAGAGAGGAGTTCTAATAAATGACTGCCTCTCAGATTTGAAGAACAGGACTGAAATTCCTG